TTCAAAGGGCTGTCAGGGGCAGAGATGGGAAAATATATTTATTCAATCATTTACTCATGATTCAGGGATGAGGAGGCCACGGTGGTCTGCTTTTCAGAGGCTGATAAATTGGTTATGGAGGTGGAGGCGGGATTTAAGCCTAATTGGCCTCTGCCTAAACATGTTGAGTTAGAGAGATTAGGGAGGGAGAGAGAGTGGAGCCAAGGGTACCTTATTGGTTGGGTCAAAGCTGACGAGAAGGTCCTCCTGTGTGATGCAAGCTGTGTCGTCGCTAACGAATAATGGAAAGAATTAACAAGTATCCTTGAAATGTTTAACAAACTGTCATCATTATTTCCTCAAGAAATACATCCACATAAAACACTAGTAAATAATAATAATGTTTGTTGCTTTTGATCCAAAGTATGACATCATTACAATTTGTGGAAGATATAAATGATGGAACTAAAGACATAACTAATAACCATGACGATAGTATTGGGGAAAATAAGTCCATTAACCTTAATAGACATTTCCTCTGTTAGAACATCAGTCTGGATGAAAGACTAGGGGGCAGTCCCAGTAACCTTTCAGTGTCTTGATGTGAAGTAAAGCGACATTGTCAGATGCTTGTGACTGCATCAGATTTACCACAGTTGGTAATTATAGATGTTCCTTGTGGCTTGTTTCACTTTGTGACCTGCACAGCAATAATAACACTCAGAAAAGTTCAACTATTTGTTAAGGGATGTACCCTGCTATATTCACAGTAAAAATATCATAAAAATAGTAGTCTTCTTTGTTATGGCCAGGCCAGCATATGGTGTATGTAGTACATACACCATGTGCACATATCTATGTAAAGAAATGTGAACATGAATACAAGTGTGCGCAAAGTGGTGGTCAGTTATATCTATAACACAGACCACTTTAGAATGACAAGGAATTTACCAAACCTCTTCATCAACATCTTTGTTTTTTCTGAACCTGCGTCTTATTGAGGCTTGAACGTCGGACGTAAAAGTCAATGAATTCTTTTAAGCAGGTCTTGATTGGATCAAGACTATAAACGTCTGGCACACAGGAGATAAGCCCTGTTATCTGTTATCGTCCGGCAAACCGTGCAACCTCGCTCTGTCCTCCCCATAAGAAGAGCAGAAACAGGGAGAAACGCTGAAAAAGTAGAAAGGAATACAGGGAGACAAATCAAATAAGTGACAAAATTTTAGCCTCACAATTGCAATAAATGCTGTAAAAATAACAACTATTTACTATTATGATAATGTTTTGTAAAAAGTACTTTTTTGTAAAAAGTATTTTTTTGTAAATTTGACTTTATATATGACAGAATATATACATCTTCCTGCTGTTTAACCTACTTCCAGAGAACTCCCAACATGATTGTTTGGTGTAACTGTCTATTAACTGCACTTCTCTTCAATACAGCCTAATGACTCTTTTACAATTTTGGAGTCCTTTTTGAACTGTGTATGTGTAATCAGCAGTAAGCACTCAATGAGCTGAAGCCAATGAGTCAGAACTGTAGATGGTCTGTCATTACTGTCACTGCGATCTTCTGATGTGACCCAGGTTTACTTCCTCCATTTAGTTCACCATGAAGATAAAGGAGAATGGAACTGCTCAAGATACGCATCTGATGACTATGCTCTCATTATCTGTATTCAATTAGGTTTGGGTGAAATTTATCATATTAACAAATTCAATTAAGTTAATACTATAAACTTTTTTTTTTTAATTAAAAAAAGGACAATTTAAGTGTGAAAGCACAACATGGATGGTAATTTAGTTACAAATGCAAAAGAATTATCAAACCATGAACATTTTTTAATGTTGTGTTAGTATATTACAGGTTATTATTATGGAAGGTATAAGCGACACTGTGTAATTTTCTGGAGATGGCACATCACCAGTGGAGATGCACGTCCCCTCACATTAAGGTTGCATGTTCTTCTGTGTTTTTTTTTTTCTTCAATGCAATAAAAACACATTAAAAATAGCTTATATTTTTTGGTTCAAATGTTTAAGGGCTTTAAAATTCTTGTAAGATTTCCCACTGAGCTCCTGTTTGCACTAAACCTATGGCAGACTGCTGGTGGCTTTATTTTTTACTGACGATGACTATCAGCTAATGAGGCAGAAGCCACAAGACAAAAACAGAATAATGGTCTATTGACTTCTGAAGGCATGGCTGTAAAGGTGTTACAACAGCCAGGCTTGTCAGTTAGAGGAAAGGGTATATTATCACAGCCTGTACTTTTTGCCTTGACAAACTGATTGACAAACTAAGATTTATGCTTTAACACCCAAGCTGCTAAATATGAAAACCTTTCTTTTGTATAAAGCACTGCTGAGCTTTGATGTTTGCTATTGAACCATAAACCTTATGCACAGTGCATGTCAAATAAAGTGATTTTGTGTTCAAGAAATGATCACCTATGTCTGAAGATAGTGGTTAACCACCAAAATATCTAATCAGTTCTTTTGAATTAAAACGGAAAATTTACAAGCAAGGAAGTGACCATTAAGTGAAAAAGGTATTCAGATATGAATGTAACAAAATACTTCAAAAAATCTTTAGAGGAGAAATGGTATGAATTCTATTAAATTGTCCCTGGCTCCAGATCTATCAGAGGATGTTCGAGATGATGTAAGAAGTTTATGGTACCCAAAAACAAAAGGTCAACTGTACATTAGCTGAAACATCACTACTGCTAAGTGCACGACTTGAATCTGTTCTCGATTAAGATAAGAGTCGATGTTGCCTGTGATCATTCACTCTGGTCATTGTCTGTCCTACGGGCAAATGTTAAGTCACAGCTTCAGTCTGGCAGTTATAACAGGCTCTAACTGTTTTAAGTAACAGTTGTTAAAGATTTAATTATACATTGAAACAATCTGAAAAACTACTGAATTTAACCCTCAGAATAATAATGCATTTTGGGACTTTATTTTGTCAGTGATATGAGCAAAAGGGATGTGGTTGTGTATTAGTTTCAATAAGGCACTTGTCGGGAAATACTGAAAGACACTACATTTATATAAAATTAAGAAGTGAAATGAATTGCTCAGAGTGGCTTTGCTGTGTTTTAATTTCACATTTAAATGGTTGTGCATCTTTTGCCTCTGCTGTTGGATCACGAAGCAGACCTGAGTTAGAGCGAAGCCACCTTAATCAGTCCGAGGCAGGACATGTCCGCTCTGTAATAAAGGCCGGACAGATGCGTAATAGGAAGAGTGGAGTTTGGATGAGTCGTGCTTCCCAGTGTTTCCACCCCTGTTTTTTGTATGTGAGCAGAATGACAGTAATACTGTTGTGCCATCAGTAAAAGACAGGCCGAGGGACATGCGGCACACCCAACACTCTGTGTGGGAGTGACACATTTCCTCCAGCTTCCCCATTCACAAGTGCCACAAGAAAAACACTTTTAATCAAAGAAGTGAATGCAAACTTCCCCCTTACGAAAACCAAATCTAACATGTATAGACAAAATATCTATGCAGGTTTATTCATCATTCCCACACCAACCATATTAGTAGCAGAGTTGATTTGGTTCGTTAAACTCTTGGAAAATCAATACATTCTCAAAATATCCGAGTGAACCAGATTATGAAAATAATTCTAAGCCATTATGAAAGTCTCTCAGTTATTAGCATTACAATTATTACAAATATATTTAGTATTGTGATGGTGATAGCAAATCAGTATTGGAAGTAAGGCGACATTTATTTGTACTTACTGCTCTAATGGCTGAAATGGCAGAAGTCTCAGGCTGATGCTGGGCGCACAACAGCAGGTGAGATGAGCAGGTGAGGACGATAATTGGCAGGAGGTGGAAGCAGGATCGAAGTAGAAGCCAACACGTTGATTGAACTGGACATCTAGAAGTCAGAGTGGAGTAAACTGCACAGACAAAAATTCATGCATTTGTGAATAAAGCACAGTACGGTTTCTTTTATAGACCCTCACCGAAACATATTGCAATTGTGGGAAAAAGAAGAAATTAGAATGTGCTTTATTCAGCAGAGTGGAGTGTATACAGTAAGAGTGAGATTTTCCTTTAACCTTTCCAGATTGCTGATCAGGTTACTTTGATCATTTTGAAGGCACAGCAAATATTGTATACTTTAAAGTTCACAAACACTAATTTTGTCAACTTTTAAATGTAAACCTTTAACGTTTTCCTGTTTCTGACTTTATGACAGTTCCAATACCACTTTCCTGCTCCACTACACAACGATGAGTAAGCTAAACAAGCGCACTATAACTTCACTCAGGCAAGAAAATAACACTGACCCCTACATTATTTTGTAGATAATACACGTAATACACATACTGTTACTGGGTTTACGTCTCTGCAATGATTTATGTACAACTTGAAGTTTAAAGGGTCCATATTATACTGTTTTCTGATCTATGTCATAATGTTGCTTCATCATCAAAAACGTACAATGAGTTGTGTTTTGTGCCATTCACACATGTTTAACATATAAATCCTGCATATGCAAGTTTTTCTCTCAAACAGAAAACACTCTGTGATGTCATGTGGCAATACAGGAAGTGCTCCACTGTATTTTTAAACTCCATACACCTTCACTACAATCATTTGGATAACTTCAGTCCCGGGATTGCCAAACTCTACTGAACTAAAGGTAAAAGCTTGAAAACTACTGCTTCATGACATCACAGAACATTTTGACATTTGGACATATAGACAGACTAATAATAAAGGGTTAAATAAATGAAACAAAACACAACCCAAGACATGTTTTTGATGAGGTAACAACATTTTATCATGGTTTAAGAGTCACAAGAGTCGATTTTTGCGTAAAATAGGACCTTTAACATCTTCAGTCTCCTTATCCCAGCAGTCTAGTGTTTCCTGCACACTGAACGATGGAGTTTTGAAAGCGAGTGAATTAGAGGAGGAGGTTGAAGGGGAGGGGTGAGTCCCTATAAGAGCAGCAGCGACCAGCCTCCACGTAGCCACAAACCCAACTGACAGTGAGGAAGGAAAACATAGACTTACTCTATCAACCTGTACCCACGGGAGTCCTAGCACCCACGCCATTATTTCAGCACAGGTAAGACACTGGAGTTGCACAATGGAGGGAGTGGGCAAGGAAAATGCTTAACCTTTGACCCTGGACACAATATCATATTTTTACTGTAGCTTTGTTTTTAGGCTTGTTTGGATGCTTTATCTCAGCTTTTTCATTACTTTCAATTGCAGTATTAGAGTAATACTGAAATATCGACTTGTGTAATTTGTATTTTGTGTTCTTTCAGCGGAATGCACAGCCAGCTAATGATTTTAACATTACATTAACAATCTACTGTTGACCTTTATGACTAAGGCAGTAATTACATGTTTTTTACACTAATCAATGCATCACCTTTAGAGGAGAAAACTGTTGTGTGCCCTATAACATCTTGAGGATATTTAAGTAGGGTTCAAATCATTAAGCAACAAATACATACAGAGGGCATGAGGTGATGAGGGCACTTGCACAATGCTGTCGAGTCTAGTGATATTTAATAAAAGGTCATAAATCATCTGTCCTGATTAGTCATGAATCGTTAAGGCCTGATTTACTGCTGTGCTTGAGTGGATTTGTGAATGAAAGTCATTTTAAAGGGTGAACAGACATTAACGTTTACTTGTACAAATGTGAATGTTAGAGATAAATGCGTGCAGGCTTATTTGGATTTGATGTAATTGAGGACGGCACTGGCGCCATTTTGATGGAGAAAACTTTCAATGCCCTCTTTAGTCTGTATTTAACACACTGACTAGTTTCTTGTATTATAGCATAGTTTTTTAATTAGTATTTCAAAGTTCATAAATCTGGTAATTGAGTGACAAACATTATTAATATAAATAATGAGCTACTGAACTAATTGCTTCACTGGAGATTACAATTCTTCTTTAAAAAAAAAAATAAAAAAATAAAAATTAATTATGCATTACTCCCTCCTATAATTTCCTCTAGAGGTGTAACATGACCTTGAATGATTGCACATCTATGCAAAATATTTAATGTATAAATATAAATAAATGTGTTAGATAATAAAGGGTGGGCTATATTGAAATATATGATAATAATAATATTCCCATTTTTCTCATGGTAGTATAAGGTCCCTGTCTTTTTGCAGATCTTTATTTTATATTTTCTTTTCTTGTAGACAATTTATGCCTATCTCACTTTTTTTTTAGATTATTGATATAGGCCTATGCAATGTATCACTACATTACAATCACTACATTTAATGAAAAGTAGCACCAAGGAGGTGAAAGAGTTAAATGCAAAACAGCCTTTTTACTGTGAAAATAAATAATAGTAAGTTTGTCTACTAACCCAATATCATGTGGAATGTCCTTTGGGTGTCAATTTAATTGACCTTGCTTGGACTCTTTGTTGGACTGTAACTTGTAATCTACTGTTCACAACTCAAGTCTCTCATGGGCTATATCTAATCTATTAATCTATCGACACTGTGCTTTGTGGGAATCTTCAGTTTTCCCACCAGCACCTCATTGCCTTTATGGACAATAAACTTCCCTGACCCCAGAAGGAAACCACTAAAGGAAGGCTGAATGTGGAATACAGGAAAAGGATTACTGAATGACATGACTGGTGTGCAGCTAAAGTCCACTCTGGAGGCTTTGCTCATACTGTGTTTAGCCAAGTATACAATGTCCTACCTCACCGGGAGACCACTCATCCTTTTGTATCATGATGTCATTTAGCCTCTTTCATCTTCTCAAGGGTCTAACGCCATATTTTAGGCCTCTATGAACAAATAGCCTTTCTCAGAACAAGTTGCATAATTGTTCTATGACATCAGCTCAAATTAATGACAGGTGATACCAGTGATTTTTGTTTAACCTTGAATTAACCAAAAAAACAAACAAAAAAAAAACTTTTTGTATCACAATATTTGCAGATAGGTAGGTAAATAAACAAAAAATGACTGAAATGAAATTTTTTGGTCTAAGAAAAGTAGTTATACTGTAAGATATAAATTGGGCCAATAAGCTAATCGTCTTATTTACGTTAGCTTAATTCTATTGTTATGAACTCCTAGTATGATTTCAGAGCTTCCCTCCTCGAGAAAATATCACGTACTGAGTATATAGACACCACATAACAAGGTAGGTAAGTGGTAACAAAAAGTTACATTATAGGTTAATTCTGTAGTGTCTAACACAACTGTAGCGTGTCGCAGAATAAAAAAAAAAAAAAAGGAGTTCCAATTGCTAGCTCTGTTTTTAAGCTAACTTTCTAAAACAAGTTTTCCTTTGCAAGTAAAAAAAAAAAAAAGCAAAAACGGTTGATGACTCTGTGACAGTGTGTGGGCCAAAACATTAATCACCCTGAGGTGATTAGATCCATTCAGAAGGGAAATTGATTTAGTTTGTGTCTGTCTAGGGCTGTAGGCAAATCGAGCAATTCTTGGTCGAATAAAGACATGCCATGTGTCGCGATTGATCGTCCAAAAGGGGACACGGTGCGTGGCACTGTCAAAACTTCACGAAATTATTAGGATCTCGCAAAAAACTACCACAGAAAAGTACTAGTGAGTGAACTGAATCTTCTTAATTCCACTGTCCTGTCACTCCTATGACTCCAACTAACTCCCCCATCTGGTGTGCATATATCTGAATTTATTAATTTACCTTTTAGAAAATGAAAATACCATGTAATCAGCAGAGAAAGTGGCTCTTATCCCCCATCTGGGAGTACAACACAACAGTATCACAGTCTAGAATCTGAAAACCTCCATATTGGTTGTGTAGGAAGGGTCAAGGCAGGTTGTGTATATGGACCTTTACAATAGACCCATATGGATTCTCTACTCAATCAATGGACAGCTTCCAGTTAAAACAAAGAGGACAATGTATTTTGAGTGGGCATGCGACAAGTTGTCAGTCATAGAGATTTTTTGACAGATAAATGTGGTCTGTTATCTTCCTCCGGACTAAAAAAATAAAGTAACATTTAATTACCTGTCAAAGTGACTCATCAACCAACAAAGCCAAATTGATGATTATGCTTAAATAATTAATGGTCGATTTGTCTTTTTTAGAAAAGTGCTAGCCCTCTGCATGTGCTCTTAAATTACTTTGCAGTCCTTATCTGATGTAATTGTCCAAGTTCTTATACGCATGATGTATAAACTAACGCTGCAGCTTAGCGTTAAAAAAAATGTGAAGAAATGTACTATATGTAGGCTATTGTGTCCATCCAGGCATGTATAATCCGGCTTTAGGACACTTTTGGTGCAGAGAGTCAATTATTTTATATTGGCTGCCTTGATGAGAAATGTCTGTAATGGTGAAAGAAGTAATAGAGAAACATTTGCTGTCACTTGCTGTGTGTTCTCATGGGGCATGTGTTGGCATGGAGAGTATTTAGATTAGGTCTACAAACCTTGACTACAGAATAGTGTTTTTGAAATGGTCCCTTTTTTCTTAAAGAGCCCGTATTGCGCTATTTTCTGATCTATATTATAATGTTTCCTCATCAAAAACATACCTGGAGTTGTGGAGTTCTTAGAAAACACTCTGGTCCACTTTGTGACATCATGTGGTAATACAAGAACTGCTCCACTTTGTTTTAAACTCCATACACCTTCACTAGAGTCATTTGAACTTCACTAGAACTGCCAATCTCTACTGAGCAAAAGGTAAAAGGTAGTGGTTAACATGAAAACTACCGCTTCATGTTCACATGTTAAAACAGAGCATTTTGAGCTTTGGACATGTAGAGAGGCTAACAATAATATGGTTTAAACATCACAAGAGTACATTTTACTTAATATAGGACCTTTAAGCTCTAGGAAGCAAGTTATTTTAATTTTTTTAGATATAGGAGGTCATCCGTTTCTTGTCAGTGCAATGCAAGACCCCCATCTCCGTCCTCCCCTCACGAGCAGTGCCTCAGAGCTGGACCAGACACTAATGACTTAATTAACTGGTTTATTTAATGGTTAATCAGTTCATTAAAACCGCACTAATTGGGTTTGAAGAGCTCTCCAGAGAACCCGGAAGGCGTCAGAATGAGATAACCCTGCAGGAATTTGATGTTGAGCGATTTTTTTAGACCATATGTTTTAAAAGTCCAGACAAAGACTCAGCAAAATAATTCATCTGACAGTATTAGTCACACACTTTGAAAATTGTAACATGATTCATTGAACACAACAATGAATCAAAAATCAGCTTTTAATCTTAATTTCTGAATGAAAACCACAGCAGGGTCCCTCATGCATTGCTTGTTGTGATGTCAGTGGCAGAAAGATGGAGAGTGAGACACATTCAGGACAGATGAGTGCACCCAAGCTGTCCTCAACTGGTGCCATCTGGCAATCACAGCCCACCTTGTCCAAGTCTACCAATCCACTCCTGTGTCCTTCAGTGTTTTTCACATAGAATAAACAATTATTAATGAACTACACACAGATGTTTTCACTATTTCATATCTAAAGCCTAATTAATTTTGATTGAGTTGTCAGAGTCACTGGCTAATAGACAGTTAGAGCAAACTAAGCAGGCTTAACAATTAAACTTTTATCAGTTTTTAATTACTCAAATCCTTTTGGTACAGACACTTTTATATGGTTTGACACTGACTGGTTCATTGCCTTGGCTTTAAACAGGCCTCAGCATTTGCTGTCTCTGTGTCTTAAAACGAGTGTGTGTAAAAATCAGAGCATTATGTGTGTTTTACAAGCCCTGTGTGAGGATGTAATGTCAGCACAAACAGTGAGTCAAATTGTGGCCGGAGGCATTAATTGAGGCATCAATTAAAGGAGTTAACGAGTTTGTTAAATGAGATGAAAACTCTCAGTGTGCTTCTGACGTCAGGCTCCATATTCAGGGCTCTTCCCACCAGGATAAGGTCAAACCACTTTATTTTTTGGCACATCTTTTGCATCTATTGTATTTTGATTAGCTCTATTGTCACAAATATATTTAGTTTGTACAGCTCAAACCATCTTGTATTAATAATTTGTTTATTTTTGCTTTACAGTTATTTATTTTCATATGTTTCTTTATGTGTAGGTGACAGTGGAATGATGAAGACCACGGTGGCTCTGCTTCTGCTCTGTCTGTGTGATTTCGGACAGAGCGACTGCCAAGCAGACTGTTTATCCTGTAACAATATACTGCCCAAACGGCTCAGCTTTAACACAATGGTGAGGAACAGCTCTTTTGAAATGTGACATGTAAAATTTACTTTTATGAGCTATAAACCATGTTATAGTGATGCTCCTTCATCATTAACTTATATTTTGATTGACCCATGCATGTCTGAGTAATCTTTTTCACCTACCTTTTATCTCACCCACTACTTCATACTTGCTAGTGATTATTCATTCAGAACTCAGACCATACATGTAGGGCTCAAAAATTTCAGCAGTTTAAACAAGCAACAGAAACTCTTCTGCTTGTTTCAATGAAATAACATAACTTGAACCCTAAATGTATGACTTGAAGTGGATTTTTAGGAATAATAATAATAATAATTGTTATTATTATTATTATTAATTATTAATAATAATAATAATAATAATAATAATAATAATAATAATAATAATAACACTATTATTATTATTGGTATTATTATTATTAATAATAATAATAATTATTATTATTAAAGGAATAATAATTATATACAGAAAAGAAAGCAGAGATAGTGTACAGGTGAAGACAGGATTATTATGAGCCTCAAATGCAGGACAATACTGGATTGGTCAAACATACATACATCAATCAAAATATGAGCCTGAGTAAGCTAATAATGAGGGAACACTATTATAACATACAGTGTGTTCCCTTTAAATACAGATTAGAGATTAGATACATAGTAATGTGTATAAATAGCAATTCTTCACTCATAGAATTCTACATATATCCATACATAGATACATGTATGTATATATGAGTGTGCATGGTATGAAATTCATTATTAATATGTATTTTTTCAATTTGTCTTAGGTTTGTCTTATTGAGTGTGAAGGTAACGTCTCCCCAGCTTTTTCTTGGGACTTTTGTCGTAAGGCACTGCTTATACCATTAGAGGCTGTAAAAGGTGTGGCAAGAAAAAGATCTCAGGAGGAGGTGGAATCATTCATGCCAGATGAAGAGGAGCCCATAGACAAAGAGCTGTTTCTGCCAATAGCCTTGCAGCGATTCGATCATATGACTCGGTCATTTGGAATTGATGAGAGTGACGTGGGAGACACGGCCTACAATTCCCAGAATGCCTTGTCTCTTGAGGACAACTTGGAAAATGAGGCAGGGCAAGGCGACGTTGACCCTGATGTGGCTACAAGAGCCCTGGATGGTGTGGGGTTGAGTGTTTCAAAGAGGTTCGGGGGCTTTATAAAGGGGAGGCATGGCTACAAGAAGATTATGTCCCCAGGAAGATCATATCAGAAAAGATACGGTGGCTTCATTGGCATTCGAAAGTCAGCCCGCAAATGGAACAACCAAAAACGTTTCAGTGAATTCCTGAAGCAGTACCTAGGCATGAGTGCTAGAGCAACTGAATTCAACAGTGTGTCAGAGGACCTCACCTCTCAAAATGAAATCTAGCAGGGCTCATATGCTCATCTTGCCTCTCACATATTGTAGAGAATCCTGGTTTAATAATCAACATCAATTTCAAGTGTGTGAAAAGGACCACAATTTAAAGCATTCTTGCCAAAAAAAAATAAAAAAATGGAATGATCTTATTTAGTCAATTATCAATCATTTATTCTACTGAACATGAGGATTGTAGGTATCACTTGTATATCACAGGTTATACCTATACATACATTATTTTTAGTTTTGAATAACCCAGCACTGATTAGTTTACCAATCCTAAGTGGTGTTTTTCAATTCTCACTTATCTGAAATTATCACATCTGTTTTAGGTTATATTCCAAGAATCAAGAGAGCTGGTTTTGGCCTAAGCACTTAAACTGTCAACTTTTGAGCAAACCTCCACTTAGCCCTCAGTACGTAGTTTGCATCACTTCTGGTGTCATGGCAGTTGGCTAAAAAATATTTTATGCCAATATATTTCTTGTTCTGGTTTCTTGCTATTGTGCTTACCTTAGGAGGCTGCTTTAGTAGCAACTATTATAGCATTCTTTTATTTCATTTGTAGTCAGCAAACACTAGTGTAAAAAAATAGCCTTATAACACCAATGAATATGAAATTCAACTACGAGCAGTCAGTAGATAATCCAGAAGCAATTTGGGGGGTGACTCACAGAACAGATTCTATTGTTAACTAGAAACACCAAATAGGCAGACTTTCTGTACACACATCAAATGACGTCACGTGCCAAACTGTGTTACACACATCAGTCTGTCTTTCCATGGGCTAGATAGCCTACTGATGTCACATGTTAGAACAAAAAGTATATTTCTGTATATTTCTGAAATAATTCTATAGCAGTGTGTAGTGTTTTAGTTGTCCATGAAGAAAACTGTAAATAGTATTTAAATAATGTCAATAAAATAGTTTACTATTTCGTTTGTGACTTGTCATGCAGCAACTAATTATGTGTCTTGGGTTGTTTTATTCTTTTCAAACTCTTTCAGTTTAGTTAGGCCTATACTGTAGTTTCCATCGGAGATCATTAGAAAAAAATAAAGCGGACAGCACCACCGTGTGGTAATTGATCTTATCGCACCACATAGGTAGATCCATAATGCACTCCATATGGTATACTCAGCCAAACGTTGCCAGATGTGATAATTCATCATGAATGTTATAAGTTATGGTCGTGTGCAGGGCATGCCTATCCCAACCTTATAGTCTGTTAAGTAGAAAATGAGAAGTTTGTTATAGTGGGCCATTTGGTTTAATGTTAATCAAAAGAACAGCTTTATTAAATGTATACATATCGACTTGGTCAGATTAAATAAGACTTCTTCAACCTCTGTAAATGAGGCAAAATATGAATGTGTATAAGCAAATTCTGACGAGCCGCTCTAAATCAGAAATAAACCCACTGTGAAGCCGTGAGAAGCTGAAAAGCTCATACAGGAAGTTGTGTTCAGTGTTCGCCTGCGATCGCTAGCTTTATGGAAAGCTGAACCGCAGCACAAGTTTAGGAATACCACCAAGACTTTATTTTTTGTTTGGACTTGGATTCAAAGTTTTTTAGTTGAATTGATCGGGTGAGTGTTGTGGCCTCATTTTATAAGGTTGTGTTTTATGTTTAAGTAAAATCGTAAATTTCACATAGTGTAGCTAGCTCCTCGATAGCTTAATTGACGCTAGCAACGATGAGCTAACTGCATTTAATGTAGCTACTGTACCTTTGTTATAACTTTCCCATCGTAAGGTACATCTTAGGACACAGTATGTCCTTAGCACAGGTGAGCTTGAGGCTTCTGCAGGAGCTTTGTCTTTAAGGTGCGCAGTGGTAAAAGCTCCAGAGCTAGTAGGTTAACACCAATGTGACAGTAGGCTACATTCTCTGACAGCTGAAGGTCTAACTTGTTTTGCCTTCACCTTGTTGTGTTGTCAGGCCTTTCTCTTGTCTTAGCTAGCTTTATATTTCACCTGTCTTTACATTAAACCAAGCATTATCATTAACATTAACTAAAGTTTAATTAACGCTACGTGTTTCACGCGAGCCCTCACATTACGGTCCTATGTGATATTTACAGGAGGCATGCAGAAGGTAACCGCCTCCTTTGTCCGTCCTTTTCTCTTCAGTTTGTTGGTAAACACACAGCTATGTGCAGCTGTGTGCGGGGCTCCAGAACTCTGGTCCCTGCCATGCTCCCCAGGCTGCTGCTGCCTCAGACGGGCCACAGACTCAATGGCAGGGCGCTGTGGACCTCTCCCTCCTTGAAAGCTGGCACTGGAGATACCCAGCTGCCCCCTCTGCCTGGCCAGGCCCGTGTAGTGATCTGCGGTGGAGGCATTGTGGGCACATCAGTGGCATATCACCTGGCCCGCTTGGGCTGGACTGAGATAGTGCTGCTGGAGCAGGGCAGGTAAGACTTGTAACACAAGCAGTTGAATAGATATATTTTTTAAAATGTAGTTTTGCCTTGACATTTCTTCTCATTGCAGACTCGGTGCTGGAACAACAAGACTGAGTGCCGGCATAGTTAGTGTTGCTAAACCTATTTCCATAGAGTGTCAAATGGCAAACTATTCCAACACTCTGTACCAGCAACTGGAAGAAGAGACAGGAGTTAAAACCGGTAAGTCCTTCATTAGCTGTACATGATGTATTACCATACTGATCTAAGTGTGATTTTGTTTTTAGGGTATGTGAAGACTGGCTCACTGTGCCTCGCCCAAAATCAAGATCGATTCATCTCTCTAAAGCGCTTGGCTTCCAGACTCCGGTAAGAAGGCAATCAAAGAAGCTAAATTCCAAAAATTCACTTTGGGGTGTACACTTGATCGGTATAGTAGTAATGTGGAATAGCACAGGTATCTCCTAAGAGCTATTGTTTGTTTGTCATTTTAGAGTAATGGGCATCAGCTGTAACATAATCAAGCCAAAAGATATAGCTAAACTCCATCCACTTGTTAACATTCATGACTTGGTGGGGGCTCTTCATCTTCCTGAGGATGCCGTGGTTTCTTCACCTGATGTCAATCACGCACTTGCTGTTGCAGCAGCTGGAAATGGTTTGCTCTTTTTATATTAGTACAAAGCACAATGCACTATTTGAATTAAGCTACATTAACATTTTTTTTTTATGAATATGTGATTGGTGTACATACTTTTAACTGAAAGATGTTTAGATTTTACTGGAATCTGCCTCTAGTTTTACATTGTATTATTATTTAACTGATATTTCTACACTGGAATTTCAACATTGAAGCTCATTCAACCAAAAGAAATGCCTTATATCCGTGTTGAAATTATATAAATGCTTTACACGGAACAATTTTAAGATTTGGTTAAACTGTATAATCTGTGTATTCCTTCTTTAAATCAGGGGTCCAAATTCTGGAAAGAACCACTGTCCAACAAGTTTTGGTGGAAAAGGGACAGGTGATGGCCGTAGAGACAGATCGGGGCTCCATTGAGTGTGAATTTTTTGTCAACTGTGCGGGACAGGTGAGTTTACACCTAGATACCAAGATACACTATGTAATGTTTCTGGTGGAGGGTCCGCCAACTGCTTGTCTCCATAGAGCTCTTGATGCTTTGTCTGTAATCTGCTTACATGGAGACAAGCAGATGTCCCTACTAAACCACATTACATGTCAGATCTATGGATAGAACTGTTTTTTCAGCAATAAAAACATCTGTAATTGATTAAATAAAAAAAATGAGCCAGTAACAATCTAAGCAAAGCAATACCATCTTCACAGAGACAAACTGGTAGCATATCCTCCATCGGAAAAGTTACACAGTACATCTTTAAGATAATCATGGTTTTACATAATGGACAGTCATTTGGATCAAATTGTTTTGGGGTATTTCATTCCTATTGTAGTCGTGTGCTATGAGATCTAGTGTGATAGCAATAACTAAAAATATGTTTACAAAGTGCAAAAATGTGAGAAGTGTTGGAAAAAATACAACTAATATTCAATTACACAAAAATGACACTGAAGTGAACAAAATCTTATATAACTGGCTTATACAAAAGAAAAACAGGACTCAATAACCATGTGCTTTTGTCCAATCTGTTTCAGTGGGCTTATGAGCTTGGCCAAGCGAGTGAGATGAAAGTGTCCGTTCCTCTTCATGGATGTGAACACTTTTATCTTCTCACCAAACCACTCGAAGATCCAGTTCAGTCCAACACTCCAGGTATAGAAACAAAGCTCACATGAAAACATGTAGGACAGTTGGTTTTCCTCTGCTGTATAAACTGCAGAGGAATTGCCTAACTAACTAAAGTCTTTTGTACAGTGATTCTTGATATGGATGGAAGGATTTATGCACGGCCCTGGCAGGGGGGAATCCTTTCAGGGGGTTTTGAGAAGAATCCAAAACCCATTTTTACTGAGGGTCGTAACCAGCTGGAGATCCAGAATATGCAGGAGGACTGGGACCACTTTGGTAAGAGGGCATCCACTTCTTATTCAAAGTTAAGTCTTCATAATTACAGTGAATGATAAAGTGCTCACATCCTGTTGCAAAATAGTAGTTTGAATAGTGTTTATTCCAAAAACTTATTTGGTTGACTCTCTTGTGTATGTATTTTAAGAAAAAAAAAAAAAAATTATAATAATAATTTGTAATTTTAAAGTTTTTTTTTTCTTTGACCTCCAGAGCCCATGCTGAGTGCACTGCTAAGAAGAATGCCTAATCTGGAGTCTGCAGAAATTCAACAGTTGGTCAATTGTCCAGAATCCTTTACTCCTGATATGCGCTGCCTGATGGGGGAAACACCGGGTGTTTCTGGTTACTACGTGCTGGCTGGAATGAACTCGTCTGGCCTGGCTTTTGCTGGAGGAGCTGGAAAGTATGTTATTGTTACTTTTTATATATAGTGTGTGTGCATATATATTATATTATATTGTATTATAGAATAGAATATAAATAAATAAATCATCTCTTTGTAATTGTTTGGCCTTTTAAGGTATCTGGCAGAATGGATGAGTTATGGCTACCCCACAGCTAATGTCTGGCCACTTGACATCAAGCGATTTGGCAACTTGCAAAGTAGCCGAACCTTCCTGCGACACAGAGTTATGGAAGTCATGCGTAAGTTTATTTTTCATGCTTCTTGGTCAACAGTTTTTTTCCTTTTATTTATAGCTTCACAGCTATATTTAAGCAATATCAGTATTTGCTTTAGAAAATGAATATTATATATTAAAGAGTAAAAATTACATAGCCACCTTAAGATTTGTGTACACTTCGCAGCTCTGTTGTATGAGCTAAAAGTCCCACGGTGGGACTTTCAGACTGGTCGTCAGCTGAGGACTAGCCCCCTGTATGATCGTCTGGATACACAGGGAGCTCGCTGGATGGAGAAACACGGCTTTGAGAGACCCAAATATTTTGTGCCCCCAGGGAAAGGTATAAAAGATGAGCACTTTACAATGAAATGATTTAATATTAAGCGGGTAATTTTGGAATTTCCAGATCTGCTTTCACTGGACCAAAGTAAAACCTTCTATAAACCAGACTGGTTTGACATTGTCGGAGCTGAAGTGAAGTGCTGTAAAGAGGCTGTCTGTGTCATTGACATGTCTTCTTTTACCAAATTTGAACTGACTGTGAGTCATTTATTAATACTTATTCAAGCACTATTTTAACAGGATTTTGTAAATATTGCATACTTGTACAACTTTGAAAGTATTAAATTGATGTCACAGTCAGCTGGTGACCAGGCCCTTACGTTGCTGCAACATCTTTGTGCGAATGACCTTGATGTTCCAGTTGGACATATTGTACACACTGGGATGCTAAACAAGAGAGGAGGATATGAGAATGACTGCAGTGTGGTTCGAGTGAGCAAGAACAGGTGTGAAAATCCCCAGTGATAACTATACATTAATAGATCATAGTACTTAAATAGTTTTGTGTCTGTAGCTTCTTTATAGTTTCTCCAACAGACCAACAAGTTCACTGTTGGTCTTGGATTAAAAAACACATGCCCAATGATCCACATCTGCATCTAGAAGATGTCAGCTGGAAATACACAGGTAAGCATGCATTAAACAAAAATGTAAGTAGACCTACATTACAATCATTGTTCACACCTACTACAGGTTACTTCACACAGAATGCCTCTTATTCCTGTGGTGTGTGTATGTATGAATGAATGACTGAATGAAAGAGGTGGTATCCCTTTCCCGACTACCATCATCGACCACTCACTCACTCAGTCAAAGTGTGAAGAAGTAACAATAGACTACTCCTGTAAAAGAAAGGAGGAGAAAGAATATATACTCATAGATATGGGGCCCTTATATGAATTCTCACAATTGTTTCCCCCCTTAAAAGCTCTAAACCTGATTGGGCCACGAGCAATGGATGTTCTGGCAGAGTTGTCCTATGTTTCAATGACACCTGACCACTTCCCTTCCATGTTTTGTAAGGTAAGCAGTTGTTCTATATTCTTTATTATTTAGCAATATTAAATGCTGATTGTGCAAATACTTACAGGAGATGAGTGTTGGATATGCCAATGGCATCAGAGTGATGAGCATGACTCACACAGGAGAACCAGGCTTCATGCTCTACATTCCTATTGAGGTAAGGGTTGCGTAGTCTACACACAGTAGGCAGAAATACAAAGGTCACAGCATTTTTGCTACTATGGAACATCTCTGAGTGACACCTACATCAACATCTTAGTTTAAAGATATTTTTCTAACTACAGATGTACATTTGAGAGGATAATTTCCAGTCTTCTTTTTATCTTACAGTATGCCCTCCATGTATACAATGAAGTGATGTCTGTGGGTCAGAAGTATGGGATTCGTAATGCTGGGTACTACGCATTGCGTAGCTTGAGAATTGAAAAATTCTTTGCGTTTTGGGGCCAAGACCTGGATGCTTTCACTACTCCACTGGAGTGTGGACGGGAGTTCAGAGTAAAATTTGATAAGGTTGGTTGGATGGTCATGATGCAGAATATTGAAATAGGGCATGGCAGCAGTAACACTGGGATAGAATGATATGGTATTCTGTTTTTAACAGTCTCTCCTCTTCCATCAGGACACAGATTTCCTCGGTCGTGAAGCTTTACTGAAACAGCGTCAGGAAGGTGTGACTCGGAGGTTTGTTATGTTAGTTCTTGACGACCACGACACAGAGTTGGACCTGTGGCCATGGTGGGGTGAGCCCATTTACCGTAATGGTCAGCTGGCAGGCACAACCACCAGCAGTGCATACAGCTACACCCTCGAGCGTCATGTCTGTCTGGGCTTTGTTTCCCCACCTCCAGGGCCAGAGGGGCTTCCAACACCAATCACTCCAGACTTCATCAACAGAGGGGACTATGAAGTGGACATTGCAGGCCAGCGTTATCCAGCTAAAGCCAAACTCTATCCCTTCAGTTCCCTGTTCACTCAACAAAAACGTCGCAAAGATGACCTGGAGCTCAGCAACCTTTAGGGCAAGTAATAATATAAAAAAAACCCTCATAGGGGTCATTAGGCACTCCACCAATTTACCGAATCCACTCCTGCTAAAAATGCACAGTGCCATTCATTTTCAGTTTGTCATTTGAGGCAGGTTGCTCCTTTACGGTGTCCTTGTGGAACTTTTTAAAGTGCAATATTAGAAAAGGACTTTCCCCTGCTGTTTGACTCCATATCAAGTGCCTTTATTAAGGCAACATCAGCACAAGCTGCTGTCATTTGTCACTTTACTTGTTCAGTTGTCTATTTAGTTGTGACACACCATGACTGTACTTACTTTTGACTGTCACAGGGTCAACTTCTGTTGTTGTGCAATTACCTTAAAAGTCAATGTTGTGATCTCTCTAATGACTCCACATAGTTCATATTTCTATATATGGGAGAGCATTCTATGTGCCATTGTGGCTATTGGTTAAAATCAAATATTGACCACTACATGAAAAATACTAGCAAAGATATAAGTGTGCTTTCCATTTGGCAGGGAAGCTGCTATATTATTGCCTTGTGATAAGGCTTCCCTTGTCTTTCTTATCTAATTGCACAAAATGTAAAGGTGGTGTTATGTTTGTGTTATTTATGTTTTCTGTATAGAGCATCGTTTTTATTGTAGGCATTTCTTCATTGTACATGTAGTGTTGAATGTATGGCAGATGGGTAAAAGATTAAGTGAAACTAGTTTTATCCCAAATATATTTGCAAGCAAACTACATCTTAAATGGGCCATGGAGTTTTTTGTGACCCAGTGTGATGACATAAGAAAGGGAAGAGTTAATTTACTTTTGCAATAAAGCCGTGTATTTTTGTATAGCTATTAAATGTCTATTTACTGTACTATTAGTTGATTATTGGTTAAGTTGTACTGTTGTGTTGCAGTTATGTTTTAGGTGGCATATCAGAAATGCTTTACATGCTATGCCTACATGTAGAAATGTTTGTATCGTTATGGGGCAAAAATAGACAAACTTCACATTTTGGACAAAATACACATCTTCACAAAACTGTGTAATGACGAGAGCTGTAGGTTTACAAGTACAATCTTTTCCACATAATCATCCTTGCTTTTGATGCAGTCACAGCTGTAAAATAAGGGCTAATGTTTTTACCCTGTCCCAGTACTTTAAAAGCACTTTTTTAAATTGAAAGGTGTATAGTTTAACGCATTGACACATTTCTCCTTCAACCAAACATATGATAATAAATGTTTGCACAACCACGTTTGGTCCTGTTGCTATGTAGTTTTGCATCTATTCCAAAGTTAGACTGGAATTTTCAAAGTGAACTAGCAACAGATTTATAAAATATGTAAGTGCAATATATAAAACATTTTATTATACAAATACGCTAGCATTATACATTTGGTCCACTAGACCTCAAGTTCTCCGAGCTTTGCGTGGGCGGCATCCATTATGTGGCACAGGCGTGTTGTCAGTGATGGACACCACCTCCAGGCCTCCCATGGTTAAGCCTTTAATTGCAGACTGCAAAGGACAGACATGCGTTTTAACTCAAGGGTTCATCGGGGTTTAAAAAGAAAGCATGTTCAGTGGACACACAAATGTAATCATAGCCAACCTTGCCATGTTCACTGTTTACTTGGTGTTAGGCCAGTAATAGGTGTCAAACCTGAGTGTGTGTGGTGTGTGTGTATTATATAATATAAAAAAAAAAATGTATATATATAATAAAATATAATAAATAAATAAATTAAATCTCTATATTATCTCTTAATAATACTGGTATTTTACTGGAAAGGTGCATTGCTGAAGTTCCATATGGGCTAATAATAATAAAGTTTGCAAATAAACAATTGCATTCAAAACACCTTATAATATGTATACTTACTTGACGCCCAGGACCAAGTCCCTTCACCACAACACGAACATGTGCGACTCCCTTTGCTGTTGCTTTCTATTAACAACAAAAAAACATTGGTTGGGACAGGGTAGTTGGTATTGATTTATGTTACAATCACTGAAAAGAGACTTACAGCTGCAGCAGAGATTGCTGCAGTTTGAGCTGCAACAGGTGTAGCTTTCTTAATATTTTTAAATCCTTCTGTCCCACAAGATGTCCTGACAAGAGATGCTCCTGCACTGTCTGTCAGCTGAATGTGTGTGCTGGTAAAAACATTCAAGTAAGTAGCGTTAACAATTGTGGTTTTATCTACACCACGAAGCAAAGAATGTCTAGTTTAAAATTGAGCTGGAGGTCAGGCAAGAATGGTGGAACTCACTGGAAGATTCCACGTGTGTCGACTTAATTTATGGTTGATATCTCTGTAATTACTCTCACTATCCATGTGAAACGAGATGGAACAAGTTTGTGCATCTTTACCAGTAGAAATAAACCAAAGAAAGTCGTGCCAACATTCATTTCCAAAGATGTGATTGTTGTCAACTGAAAGGACTTTAAACCATAAAATGAATATGTCAAATTGTGGAGTCAATCCAAAACAAATGCTCATAACATTCAGCATATTGATCACACATTTGAATATTCTTTCCAAAAACACAAAATCTTCTATAGATTTGTAGGCCCCTGCCCTCCATCTGATAACATGACATCCCCAAAGTGAACGTGTTAAGAATATATAAAACCCACTTGTTATAGGTGGCTTTGATATGAGCTATAGGTAATTCTTCAAACTTCTTCCCACCCCATCTCAGTGGACTGTCCTCGCCCGGCAAGGGCGGGAGGTGGCTGTAACGTAAACACAATTTGATGTTAATTCATGTTATTTTAGTGAAAGCTCAGACGTGAAAAAAACAAAACAAAACACCAACCTGAAATCTTTAGAAGACTTTTTCGATTCAGTTGTGGATGTGGCGACCTCCTGCAGTCTGACAACACCGCTACACAATGTTCGCTGTAATGTACTTTGTGCCCATCTGTAAACAGTGTAAATAAAGTGAGCCTCATTCAAAGCATTAAAAACAAACACAGCTAGGTCAACAATAATAATTTAGCAGCAAGGACTATGGAGATGGTGCTACCAAGCATGTACCGTGAGCTCCCTTTTCCGTGCAGAGAACCGGACAGCTGGCGGCACAAAGAACTTGTAGAGCTGAATATACGCTGTAAATTAAACATTTTGTGGATAAAACAACGCAATGATTACTTATTTGTTAGAACTGACAGGTTGAAAGCATTCGCAGCGTGACATTGGGCAAAATGGACTACATTACCATTACTCTAGCGGAGGGGGGATTATACATATTTATTTACTTAAAAAATAAGGGAAGTTTTTTTTTATCTATGCATTTTAATTTAACATATCCCACATTAAATAACTGTATTGATTTCTAACGCAGAATTTTATATAAGAGTTAGAAAAAAGTATGCATCTCACCCCTTCAAAACAAAATGGACTGCTCCAATGAAACGAAAAGAATTGTGGGTATTGTGCTGCTGCATTCAGGGCCGCAGTTGTTTGCTAAGTTCATTATCTAGGCTCTCTGTAAAATGTAGCTTATGGGTTTTATATTAAATAAACAACACGCGTTTTACGTATTCCACGCACACTTCAAAACTTTAAATATATAAAGATGTTTGGTTAATAAAATCACGCAGACACATAATACAAACATTACTCACACATATATACATACATAAAAGTGACCAGATTTTCAAAATAAGCCCCCGGTTTGTGCTGGTTGGTAATAAGTGCACGAGTGCGTAATTAAGGAAAACTGTTATATACAGACTATTTATGACTATTTTCTTTTTGTTTTGGTCGTTTTTAAGATGATTTTGTATATTTTACCTAAACACATGACAATTTATGTCTCTCTTTACCATTGGCAGGCATTAGAATAGAGTCAAAATAGGGACATCTGGAACTGTCCTGGGTAAATAGGGATGTCTGGTCACCCTAACATACAAACAGATACATACATACATTCAGATATATAACATGCATGCATGCATGCATGCATGCATGCATGCATACATACATACATGCATGCATACATACATACATACATGCATGCATGCATGCATACATACATACATGCATGCATACATACATACATACATACATACATGCATACATGCATACATACATAAAAAAAAAAAAGTATATATATATTTATGCATTTATTTTGGGCAAGTAAAGATTTACATTCATATACAATGGAACATATAACACAAGTGAAAGCATAATAGAAATTAAAATAACAATAACAAATTATTATTATTATAATTATTTTTTGCCCCAAAATTAATTTAATCCCACCCAAAAAATTAATTTAAGCCCACCCACATACATACACAACAGAGCAGTTAAGTGAGGAAAAGAAATATTGTCAACCAGGGCAGACATGTTTTAAATTAATGTATTTTCCATGGGGATTTTTTTATTATCGATATTGTATTTATTTATTTATTTATTTATTTTAATTGCTATTTTATTGTTGAGGGGTAGCCGTTTCGCGTTTTACTCACACATACTTTTACTTACTGACAGTGAACGTACCAAAAAAAAAAAAATGGCTGCTCCCTGTGGAAGGATGGCAAGTCGTTCTGTCATGCAGTTTTTATGCACATTTTCTCGTTCTACAAGCGGGAATACGGGATTTCGACAGTTCGGTACCGGTTCTCTGTGTCGGATGACTCTAAAGACCAAAAGTGTATCAGAAACATCCAAGCGTTCTCCGTATGCTTTAGCGGCTGCGGTGTTCCTCCAGAGACTGCCCGTGATCTCCGCGGACTGTGCGCCCATAGAGCAGACCTTCAAAGACATGATGCTCCAGGTGAGGATGGACCATTAAAACCACTAACGGCTACCATCATTTTCTTTATTACAAATAATCACTGGGTTTGCCGTTCCCAATGCGATACAAACCAGAGTCTTGTAGTCTATAGTCCACTCCAGTTCATTCTACTAAACTATGTTGATTAGAAGTCCCTATTTCCCCGGGACAGTCCCAGTTTTGAGCCCTGTGTCCCGTCCCTGCAGATTTATTCAAAACCATTGATTTGTTCCAGTTTTATACAAGACATGTTCTAGGTGTCCCTATTTTTGACCAATTTGATACCTGCCAACACTGGAGAGCAGGACTGGGTATCATTAAGAAGTTATGAAATGATAGACACCTCGATACGTAGGCCACGATATGATACATTCCTCGATACAGTGCTTTCAATTCGATATAATATATTTCAAATCGATTTGAAATGGTTAAATAAAAAATAAAGGCTAAATCATGGTGGTGATCCTAAAAGTCTTTGTTAAAACACTTAATGGGCAAAGATCATATGAAATGACGCCCATTAAAAAAAAAATAAAAAAATCAAAACAGTGAATATGCCAAATATGTCACATAAACGAGTTTCCTTCCACTAAACATGCAACAAAATTAAAATAAAATAAATTTAAATATACCAAAAAAATACTCTTATAGTAGCCCATGATATCGATATTGTATCATCACATTAAACGATATGATATATCGATATTTCTATATTTTTGTACACCCCTATTAGAGAGTCATAAATTTCCGTTTGTTTTGATAAAATACAGAAAAGCTGCTTAAAAATCACCAAATCGCAAAGAAAATGATTTATTTACTTTATTTACTGATTTATTCAAGATTGTCAGTTGAATAAATCATGAATGGGCCGAGGGCAGAACAATTTTCCTTAAATTCGCACTTGTTTCACAATTTTGTTTTTACAGACCAACCCAAACCAGGAGTGTCCCAGTTTTTGATTTTGAAAATCTGGTCACTCTATACTAAACTCTGCTTGCTCTAATGCTTGCGGAGTGACATACTTGCATGATGCTGCCTTGGTCTTTTCCAGATTGAATTGGAGAAGAGCCTGTTGTCAGACCATGAGCTACGTTTGATGGAGGATGCTGAGAGACTGAAGAGGAAACAGGCAGACGATTACGACTCGGATGAGGAGGACAGCCGTGAGGATCAGGACATTGTATTGACCCAGGACTTAGTGGACTCCTGGGAACAGAAATTTAGGAGCTTCCAGCCTGCCCCAAGGGTTAGAGGTCAGTGTAAATGCGAGTAACTGAACTGAGGTACCATTCATTTTATTAACAGACTGTTTATCTAGTCTGTTAATAAAATGTGTACATATGGAAGATGAAGTGAATGACTGAATGCATGTTATGGTTGTAAGTTTTCTGAGCTTGAATCTGATACACACATCTTTGTCTTAGGGCTTTGTGTAACTCCTTATTGTCCTGTTAAATAAATAAATGAATAATTTAAAAAAAATTTGGGCAGGTGATAGAAAAGTAATTTATCTGTGTATTCCCTCAGTCAGCTGGACAAGCTGGAGTAAAGATTTTTGCCACTCATCCAAGTGGCTTCTTCACTTCTGGAAGTTTCTGTTCCGTTTGCTATAATGTAATTTAATTAACTGAATTATGATAATATATTTTAAACAACTATGATTAAAATAGAGATTTATAGGGTGTTTTTATTACTTTGTAGAATTGATAGTATCAGTATCAGAATTAAGTTACACGCTTTATTATTGTGATCAACTGTGAGGCAGTCAGTTCAGTCATACACTTACAATGTTTGAACTTCTAATGACCTATAGGGAAAGCAGTTTTTGAGCCTGCTGCTTTTGGTCTTGATAAATCTGTTAAGCACTCCAGAGGCCAGCAGATTAAACAGGTGAGACAGTCATCCATCCACAGCTTTGAGCTTTAGTTGACATGAGAGCTGAAGGGATTTATCTTAGAATCCTCATGTTATTGTCAAATCTCTTTTATTAAAAAACAGAATGAAAGACAATAAGTGCAATGTGGCAGCAAAAATTTAATCTCATCTCTGCTCTTTTCAGCTTTCATTTTCAAACAATGCCATTATTGTCTGAAGGCATCTCATCCCGGCATGTTCATGTATATCATCACAGCACTTTTTTTTTTTTAAATTCAGGCTTTCTGTCTACCTCGACACCTCCAATTACCATATTAATCTCGTAACATGCTTCAAATTTAAAACCTATATTATGCAAAACTGACTGCTGTGCACTTTAGTCATGTTAAAATGTTGTTACCTCATCAAAAACATACCCAGAGATGTGTTTCATTCACTCATGAGTAATCCTGCTTTACTATTATTCTGTCTCCAAAACTCAAAATGCTCTGTTTCACCTTGTGATGCCGTGCTTGTTTTCAACTTAACAGTAACCTTTTATGTTTTGTTCAGTAGAGATTGGCAATTCGAGGGCTGAAATCATCCAAATGATTCTAGTGAAAATGTACTGAGTTTGAAAACACAGTGGAGCACTTCCTGTACTAACACATGACATCACAAAGTAGAACAGAGTGTTTTCTGTTTGAGAACTCAACCTAAATATGCAGATTTTGTGTGTTAAACAAAAAAGAAACAAAACACAGCTCAAGGTATTTTTTTTGATGAGGAAACATTACAACATAGATCAGTAAATTAAAATGGGCCCTTTAATGTGAAGATGCAGGAGAGGTACTAAGTGTATTCTCATCTCTTTCTGTGACTAGATGATGTGGATAGAGACATGAGTTCGGTGCAGCGCTGCCTGGCGGACTCTCTGGTGCTGGTGGCTGAACAGACATTGGGGGATCAGAAGTTGTGGCTGATGCCTCAGACGCAGTGGCAGGAGGGTGAGACACTGAGGCAGACCGCCGAGAGGGCTCTGGCTGCACTCCCAGGTGATTAGACGCTTTTTTTTCTTCTCCAGACCCCAATCAGGATTTGTGATGCTCTGCAGATTCCATGTTTTTGAGTGGAATATATAAAAAAATCTAATTGATATTATTTAGGTGTTCATATTTATCAGTACTGTGTACACCACTACCGTTTCTACCAATGGTAATACATACTCACAAGAAACACCCCAAAAGAACTAACTGAAGAATGTAACCTTTCTGGTGGAGGGTCTGCCACCTGTTTCCAGTAAGATGATGAATGTTCCATAGTATAGCATTATTTTTTTCTATCCTGGTTACAAGTATTGCATGAGGTCAGACAGGCTAGATTTGTGGAGAGGTGAGCCTGCTTAAGGTATTATTGAGGATTAAAAACACATGTTTTGAATAAATGCATGGTCACTAACACAAAGTTTGATGCCATACTCTGGAACATTCCAGACAAACCTATAATATCTCTATGGATGCAAACATGTGGCAGATCCCCCGTTAGAGAGGTTAGATCAGACCTGGGAAACATATAGCCCTTTGGTTGACTCTGACTGTCCTTTTTAAGATGATCAGGAATTATAAAATAAACATATTTTATAGTTTTACCTCATGCATAGACTAAAGCTGCAGTGCTTTTTTTTCAGAGGTGTTTTTATTGACATTTTTTGTAAGGCCGCTTCACTTTTTCTTTGCTTACTCATAACATAAAGTCTTACCAGCTTGCCAAAACAATGGCATTTACTGCTTTTTTTTTATAAAGAAATACAATTAATGTTATGCAGAATTTAGTTAAGCATTTTGGCCCTGCCCTCCATATTGTTGTCTGTTTCTTGTGTGGCCCCATGGAAAAAATAATTGCCCACCCCTGGGTTAGTGTACCTTTAAGATCCCTTAATTAAGTGCAGGCAATAAAATAGACAAAAGGATTATGTTTAAAAAATCTTCAAAACTTTGACAGAAAGCAAATGTATAAAATTGAGAATATAAATTACCTATAAGAGCAATACATGCATTTTAGGTAAAGTCCATATAGATAGTTACAACACAGTTATGGAGGAAGGTGATAAGAAGTGACAATAGTGACTGAGTACAGATGACATTTAATTAAAAAGAGTGATTTACTTCACGGTTGTAATTGTACGCCTACATCAGTCTATGTCCATTCACATAATACCTTGTTCTGCCTGAATAAATTAGAGTATTATGCTTAACATTTGACCACTTTGATTTGATGAGCAGAAAACATCATCATTCTCCATACACAATTTATTGGACATAGATTTGGGTAGAATTGATCAAAACTGTCAGAAAAAAGCAATAACTTCAATCTTTAAATGTCAGACCACCTTTAATTAAAAGGTCAGTTTGCTCAACATCAGCAACATGATCTGTGTTTATAACATCCACATTCCATTTTTAAAGGAAAAACTCATACCTTATAATGCTCTGCAAATACTTTGCTCATTAGAGACATATTTTCAAACAGATTCTTTACAAATGAAAAAAAAAAAAAGTCTCATTCATAGCCGATAACACTGAACAATCAATTGATGACCTGTCTGAACTTTATTTTCCTTGCAGAGTAGGTTTTGTTTGTGTGGTTGTTAAATTACAATTGTTGTGAGATGGTTTTCAAATGGTGGGAGACTAGAAGTTCTAAGTTGAAAAAATATTGTCATCTTGGAAATTGAGCAATTTGTCCTGATAGTTTTATTTGCATATTTTACCTTGAAACTTTAAAACTTGGCTATTTTTTTGGGGGTGTAAGATGATAGTGATAGGAGACTGATAAACAACACTATACACTATTAAGTTATTAAAGAGGGGGTATTATGCAAACTCTCCTAACATTGTTCCCTATCAAAACCATGCCTGAAGAAGTTTTCAGTGTCATTCATGCATGTTTGAGTAACTACTGATCTCTCCCAGGTCCTGCCTGCTTAAGACATTTTCAATAATTGTACAAAAGCATGATACAAAACAATACACTACAACATCTCTAACCTGATGTTATGCAGTAGTTTAATTGGCAAAATGCACGCTGATTATAATGTGATAGCACTCTGAAGGAGGAATGACTTAGCGCAGAGAACAAAGTGGGGGGTGGAGTCAAAAATTAAACTGAAACTTATTGAATGTTAATGCGTTGTTTTCAGCAAATTTAGCTTTTTCAAAACAATAACAAGAAGCATGATGACCTAAATATATTATGTGTTACCAGTTGACACTCCATAGAAGTGTAATAACGCCTCTTGAAGATAGATACCCACCCTAATTTGTAGGTCAGGTGAGAGTGCATGATTTATTTTAGATGGCACAAAGTTAGATTAAAACCTTGAAATAATGCTATTGGTGTAATTAAGAATATAACTTTGCACAAATCAAATGGGGGTTTTATGATGGCGTAATTAAAGGTGAATTTGTCCTCACCTTTCCTCTCACTGCGTGTCCTTGTGTCTCTGCAGTTGGTCTCAAGGCGACTTTCCTTGGTAACGCCCCATGTGGAGTTTACTCGTACAAACTGCCCAAGCCTCTGCGCACTGAGAGTTCACTTGGGACAAAGGTATTTTTCTTCAAAGCCATTTTGTCAGACAGCGGTCCTTCTGCACCTCCTAATAGTGCTCTCCTCTGGCTGAAGAAAAGCGAACTGCAGGGTTATCTCAAACCAGCATATTTGATGAAGGTCGAACGATTCATCCTCGACTTGTGAAAACTTGGACATTGATATTGCAAAGTTTTTTTTTCTTTTTTTTTTCTTCTGCTTCTGTTTTAATGTTAATAATACCTTCTCTGAAGCTGCTTGTCCCTATGTTGTTTTGCCTCAAATATTCCACATTATGGCATTAAATGTATCCGTTTCCATGTGGACAAGCAGGTGACACCCCTATATATAGAATTATATATAGAATGCATGTTTTCAAGGTATTTGTTAAATCCAAATAACACCTATACAAGATGCAGATGTTTAATGCCATAATGTGGAGCATTACAAGCAAGGCAAATACATCTCCAAGAAAACAAGCAGATGGCAACATCATATTTAAAAGGATACTCGCTGTGCAAATAAATGAGAGTGTTTTCCAATTACGCTGTGTGCATCGTCAAAAATTAATACAAGAACACTTAGCCCTGACCTGAATGATTTAGTGGATTTGAAGAGATTGTGGATTGATTCATTTGGACGTGTACCAGTGTTTTGTTTTGTTGTAACCTCAGCCATAACAAGAGCAAGTGAGAACCGGAGCTCTGAGTGCACACTTGATGCTGAACCGAGGGGGCTTGGCAAACCTGTTAGGAGTCATCAGTCGAGCCTGCCTGACTGCACTGTTTCACCAACGAACACTAGATGGCAGTATTGACACGCCATTGAGCAGGGGCACGGTGATAAGCTGTGTAATTATTGGTGTGCCGTGGCCTCAACGGGTCACTGCGGAGAGCGCTTTTGTGATCAGCCCAGCTCTCTCGCTTTCATACAGAAATTATCCATCAGACAGGCATAACGTTCTCCGGATTCTTTTTAGTAGGTAAGAGCATTGTGATGTTTCTGACCTATTTTCTTCCATTTGCGTCTGCCGAGACAAAAAGTTATTAATTTTGTAGACTCCCCATCCCACCCTTTCCTCCTCCACCACCACCACCACCACTACCCACAATCTTTTTCCAGCAGTTGTGCAGAAAGCCCGCGGTCTTGGTTAGATGTGAGATAGCGTTGAGAGCGCAGTGGTGCAGACAGGAGCCGAGGTGCAAGATGTGAAAGTCGAGAAGCTGATGAAGCCCATTAGAGCGTGTTTGGTGTGAACACAGAGGAGCAGACGCCCCCGCCTCCTCCTCCTCCTCGCCCTTCTCGTCTTCCACACGCCCCGCGATGGCTGCTGTCGCCCCGGGGCCAGGTCCAACGCCCCGTGGTAAATTCAAGGTAATCACAGGTGCAAAGAGAGCGCCATTCACCCTTGCGCTTTCATCCCGACCAAAGGCAGTCAGAGAAGAGCGCGCACAAACTTTGGCACGAACAGTAGAAAGGTTTATGTAACAGCAAGAATATCATCAGGGTTTAGAATTCAAGATATACAATACATTTTTAATTTCAACAAAGTCAACAGAGCCTTCTTTCAAGAGAAACTGTCCATACATGTGTCTTTTGAACCTATTACAACATCACACACAGCATTAGGGCATATCTGAAAACCTCATCCTTGTATTCTTCTATAGTGCATTGAACATATTTATCTAGTGTTGTTATCTTTAAGAACCTTCGAAGCTTTGAAGGGTTTTCCTTTCATACTTCTGTTTATATTTCTCTTACGTAGGCAGTGACACAAGTTATCGATTCATGGTAGACTAAAGGTGCAGATTAATTGGACGTTTCATTCCTTGTGACTGACCAGCGACTGGCTAAATATTATCGACTGGTTTTCCTGTTTTATTACATGATATTTCCAGAAGAATAGAACGCATGTTGAGTTATTTAACATTCTCACTTCTTTTGATGTAATGTGAAATCCAGCAATACAACTAACCTCAGCAATCAAGCGCTATGTAAGAGTTAACTTATTATATTCTGTCCCAGACGGAGCTATTAACCATGTAATATCGTTATTCCTTCATCACCTGGAGTTGTGTTCATATTTCATTTACATATAATCAGCAATATCTACAGACCTCTGAGGCCGTGTTGCCATTGAGCTCTCCAAACATAAATACAATTGAATTTAGTTTTATTTATGCCCACGCATTTATGCCCACCCCAGGCTTCTACTTCTTCTACTTCAACTACTGTTTACTCCACACTTTTACCAGCAGAGGGCGCAGATACTAATACAACACTAAAATAAACCCTAAATTATTATCTTATAAAATGTGGAATTGAAAAATATTTAAAAAGCTGTATTTGTGTCTTTTCTGCATTTACCTTAAGGATAACCAAAAAACAAAAACAAAACAAAAATCACCTGTGGCTACATCAATAGTGGCGACTTTGCTGCATCCAAGGTACTGGCCGACTGTCAACCAATTAGACAATGCATGATGGTGGCGAAGAACAAATGTCAAAGGAAAGGTCTTGCACTTCTTCACCACAGCAAAGGGTAAGTGAAAAACTGTAAATGTCGCCAAATGGACATGTGACTGGAAGGTAGTCTCACATTACCACAACATCAAACATGGCGGCATATCCAGCTGTAGGTATGTTACCAGTGACAGTCACCACACTGTCCCACTCTCTTATGGATTTCAAACAGATTTTGAAAGCAGAAGCTGAATTTCTTAACCTTATTCTTGTGATTCTTTGAAGTGGAGAGCTCTGAACGGGGGGCTGCCAGGCTTTGGAGCTCGGTTCCATGGGAGTGACCTGTGCTAAGAATAGTGTACTCTGCTGCTTACAGCACTGTAAGGGATGTAACAGGAGATAAAAGCTCAGCGCCCAGATCTGTCCTTTCACTTTGGTGATGCCACAGAGGTTTTTGGAGAATCTTTGCAATTGAAGAGAAATCAGTTTGAAAAGGAAGCTAAAATGCAATTCCATTTAAATTAATGGCTGAATTAATTAAACTGTTGTAACAGTATATTTTCACATTAGCTTCACTCTGATACTTGAAACTGAGCATAATGTATGAAGTTAGTGTGCTCCTGAGTCCTGCAAAGTAGTTCTGTAATACATGATGTAATGTGAATGTAATGTATACCTTAAGTAATCCAAATAATAATAATAGAAAAGTAGTAATAATGCATTGGATATATATAGCACCTTTGAAGACACCTAAAGTGCCTTACAGGGCATTCTCTCCATGCATGGTGGTGGTAAGTTCCCATCATAGCCACAGAAGCGACGTTGCCAATCTGCGCTATCACCACCATCCAGTCATTATCCAATCACTTAACAGCCATATCAAAATCGTACTAGTTAATGTGGGTGAAGTTTCCACTATCAGTTTCCACTAAAACAACTGTTGCCCAACTGTGGTACCTTGTATTACCAGTGGCCTCTCATCCAAGTACTAATCAGGCCCAACCCTGCATAGCCTCCAAGATTTGACCAGATCAGGCATTGACAATCAGGTATAAAATGCTAAATCAGTTTTGGTCAGCTTTTCTTTTCTTAGCTTTGCGCAGTTTGACAGAACAAGCACATTCAAAACGCACTTTAGGAATTGCTCAAATCAGTAATCATAATTTTAGAAACTATCCTTCAAGCATTTGGAAAGAACATATCTAGTAATAGTTGCACTCTAAAATGTGCAGTTCGTCAAAGAAAGGACTCAAAAAATCATGTATAGTGAGAAACTTCAAATCACATGTTAATGTAACACCTTATACTTTTTGATTATCAACCACATTTGTAATCCCAAAATTCTTTTCATCTTTTCTGTTGAGGGAACTTTACAAAACCCATCTTTGAACAAACTGGGGTATCTGGACTGCAGCAAGTGGATAGTTGACTTTTGAAAGCATTAAGTGCTTAGGAAAATGGGAGGTGTCCACAACGAGTCATACGACTCCTCACACCACACAACCAAATGGTCAAAATCCAAGGAAATTTAAAACATCCCTATGTCCTCTTGGCTTTAATCCTCCCAGCAGCAGCACTCGGAGTAAAACATGTTCTTGTTAGCTGGTTCATTTTGGCACACTTAAAACTGCAATGTATTCTAATTTGTAGCTTTGACATCTTTGACTTCGTACAGTATTGGTAAAAGTCAAATTCAACTCATTTTTATGTTTTCCATTTTTCCACAAGTAGCAGCTTTTCAAGTGTAAATTGCAGAAGCACCACACCACATCATTTAGTTGAAATGGCTTTCAACAAATGAAAAGGTTGTAGCCACAAATGAAAAATTTTATGAAGGTTTTCTTTTATATATAAATATTTGAAGATGTTAATATTATAAGCTCAAAATTAAACCTATTTGACAGCTCCCTACAAAGACACTTGAATGGACTATTTTTTTTCAGCTTCTGTTGTATAATATTGTGGAGATATCAGTTAAGACATTCCTTTGGAGGTTGACCAAATATGAGTTATATGAGAACAGTAACATATAGGTTCTATAAAGTATGCAGTACAAAAGGATGTAGAATTTGACTACAGCACAGTTCTTAGAAATATGTACCTTGGCAGGAGTTTGACATGTCGGTGAGAGCAGGTTCAGAGCGCTGCTCCTCCATGACCTGTCAGTGTCATGTGCAGTTAAAAACAAAGGCAGGCTGTAGGAGACAGCAGCCATCTGTACAGAAGCACTGCTCCAGATCTCTTCTCCACAAAACCTCTCAAATGTATTTACACACACACTTTCCTCGCACTTATTTTATGCAAATCTGTGACTGCTTATGTCCCGCTCAGGCACTAGTCATTCACAGCAGCTTAACCAAAACATCGAGGTAAGAGCTTATTGGCAGTCTTTATGTAGCATATTGGAATAGCAGGTATAAGAAACAATGATAGCGACCTCCTGAATTGGAACCAAAAAGCCAGACCACCTTAAGCGCCTTAACCACCAGCCTCTGCCGTTCAGCTATCCCAACACGCTGTGCTCCCAGCGCTGCACTATTACTCTTACTCTTAATCACAGAGTGACAGTCAGCTACAGCAGGCACTCTGCGACTCCTCTTCACCGGAGCTCTCTATCACATATGTATGAGCCACTGAATGCACCTTTAAGTATCTGCATTATAAAGCTGAACTTCAATACAAACATATGCAATGTACACATTGTACTAGATTGAGAGATTAAGCATAACATTGTGACTACTGATATGAACAACAATCTTTCTATCAGAGCCAACGTAATGTAGCTCAAAGCCTCCTCTTGGTCGAGTTTAAACTCCCAAAGACACCACTTTTCTTTTTGAGATTCACTTTCACAATAAAAAGAAAATTATGAGAATAGGGTCTGTTACAGAAATATTGTTATGGAGTTGTACTGAGTATGATAACAATAAAAATTAGCCACCGATTTATGGTACGGATGCAGAATGTGTGGACGTGAAAGATCAATATTTATAATAGTTTATTGTCACTCAATAACACCTAACACAAATATAAGTAAACACACCTTATAAATATAATACAAAGCACAGCACCAACAGATGTG